GGATATTATAGGGGGAGATGACGGTGAATCCTATATGATGGATCTTATTGGGAGGATATGAAGGTGAATCTTGTATATTGAATCTTATAGGGAGATGAAGGTGAATCCTATATCATGGATCTTATAGGGAGACGAAGGTGAATCTTGTATATTATTATTATTATTATTACTACGAGTTTATATAGCGCCAAAGGGTTTGCTCAGCGCTGTACAATAGGGGGGGACAATACATGGCACAGTACAACAAAGACAGACAGCGTACGAGGGGTAAGAGGGCCCTACTCTTACGAGCTTACAATCTAGGAGGGAGGGGGTAAAGGTACAGTAGGAAGTGGCTGGGGGGGATGAAGTGGTAGGAGGAATGAGGGAGGATGGCCGTTAGGTGAGGGTGGGGTAGGCTTCCCTGAAGAGATGGGTTTTGAGGGAGCGCCTGAATGTGAATAGAGAAGGCGACAGTCTGATGGATTGGGGCAGTGAGTTCCAGAGGATGGGGGGAGGACCTGGAGAAGTCCTGTAGTCGTGCATGGGAGGAGGAGACCAGGGTAGCAGGATAGAAGGAGGTCCTGTGAGGAGCGAAGGGTACGGGTAGGGTGGTACCTAGTGATCAGATTGGTGAGGTAGTCAGGGGCAGTGTTGTGAACGGCTTTGTAGGTCAAGGTAAGGAGTTTAAATTTGATGCGTTGGGCAATCGGGAGCCAGTGGAGGGAGAGGCAGAGGGGGGTGGAGCCAGTGGAGGGAGAGGCAGAGGGGGGTGGAGCCAGTGGAGGGAGAGGCAGAGGGGGGTGGCAGAGGTGGGCGGGTGGTGAGGTGGATGAGTCTGGCAGCTGAGTTCAGGATGGTCTGAAGCGGAGAGAGCCTGCACTTGGGTAGGCCAGTGAGGAGGGAGTTGCAGTAGTCAAGGCGTGAGATGATGAGGGAGTGTACTAGAAGTTTGGTGGTGTCTGGGGTGAGGACGGAGCGTATCTTGGCAATGTTGCGAAGATGGAGCCTGCATGTGTTTTGTGAGTGATTTGACATGCGGTTGGAGGGAGAGGTTCGCGTCAAGAATGACGCCAAGGACTTTGGCTTGCGGGGCGGAGTGATAGTGTGAGTTGTTGGTGATGATGGATAGGATGGGGGGGGGGGTGTGGGGCAGGGGGAAAAGACGAGAAGCTCGGTTTTGGAGAGGTTAATCTTGAGGAAATGTAGCGACATCCAGTCTGAGATGTCATTTAGGAGGTGAGTGATGCGGGCGGAGATAGTGGGGGGTGAGGTGAGGGGTGGAGAGGTAGATTTGGGTGTCGTCAGCATAGAGGTGATAGTTGAAGCCGTGAGATTGTATAAGTTTGCCCAGGGAGGAGGTGTAGATGGAGAAGAGAAGGGGTCCAAGGACAGAGCCTTGGGGGACCCCAACAGAGAGGGGGAGGGAGGGGGAGGTGGCACCATTGTAGGTGACACTGAAGGAGCGTCGGGATAGGTAGGATGAGAACCAAGAGAGAGCAGCATCTCCGATGCCAAGGGAGTATATTGAATCTTATAGGGAGATGAAGGTGAATCCTGTATAATGAATCTTATAGGGAGATGAAGGTGAATCCTGTATAATGAATCTTATAGGGAGATGAAGGTGAATCCTGTATGATGGATCATATTGAGAGGATATGAAGGTGAATGCATAATGAATCCTATAGGGAGGAAGTAAAGGTGAATCTTACATACAGTAGTGAATCCTATAGAGATATTGAAGAATTCCTCGGGTTGGGGGATGCCCCATGTGACATTCACTGTTGTGGGTGCGGATGTCTTGATATTAGTGATGAGCCAAGCTGACCTGGGTTCGGTTTGGTTGCTGAACCCAAACCCCATTGAAATCAATAGGAGCCAAATATGTAAAATTGAAACTCCCATTTTCTGGGCTAAGAAGCAAGAGGGTTTAAAAAAAAAAGAAAAAGAGTATTGGGGTGGGGGTGGGGGGGGGGGGGGGCACTGCTCTGGGGACCATATCCCAATGTGAAAAAATGTTTTATAAAGTTTGATTTGGGCAGGAGCAGTGATGTTTGAATTGCTTATAGGAGATGTAAGGCCAACGCTATAAATTTTTTTAAAACAGGCTGTGTACACCCGACCATCAATTCTTTTTTTTTAACCAGCGCTATGTGGCCCCCCCCTCCAAATGATGGAGTTCAGGAGCCACCAGTGAAGGTTCCTGGTAATACTCCATCATAGAAAGACATTGTAGACACTTGTGCTCTTCCAAGCTTGTGGTCAGTTTGCTGAAGACCCTTTACCATTCCAGGATGACTGTCCCGTGTACAAAGCCGGCTCCATAAAGACATGGATGAGCAGTTTGGTGGGGAGGAACTCAAGTGTCCCACACAGAGCCCTGACTTCAACTCTACTCAAAACCTCTGGGATAAATGGAATGTTGATTGCATACCAGGTATTTTTTATTTCTTGTTGGTGCCCAGCATGAGGCCAGGTCTTCTCATCCAACATCAGTACCTCACCTCATACATGGGAACAAATTCCCACAGACACACTTCAAAATCATGTGGAAAGCCTTCCTAGAAGAGTGGAGGATAATATAACTACAAAGGGGGGGCCAAATACATGTCAATGGCCATGAAGAGATGGTGGGACTTCATATCAATAGCTATGGAGGGAGGGGTGGGGCTCCACATCAATGGCCATAGAGGGGGGGTGAAACTCCATAGCAATGGCCACGGAGGGAGGGGTGAGACTCCATGTCAATGGCCATACAGGGAGGTGTGGAACTCCCTATCAATGGCCATGAAGGGATGGTGATTGTGTGATTCCATAGCAATGGGCACAGAGAGAGGGGTGGGACTCCAAATCAATGGTCATGAAGGGATGGTGATGGTGGGACTCCAGATCAATGGCCACGGAAGGAGGGATGATACTCAATATTAATGGCCATGAAGGGATGGTGATGGTGGGACTCCAAATCAACGGCCATGGAGGGAGGGGTGGGACTCCATATCAATGGCCACAAAGAGATGGTGGGACTCCATATCAATGGCCATGGAGGGAGGGTTGGGATTCCGTATCAATGGGCTTGGAGGGAGGGATGGGATTCCATATCAATGGCCATGGAGGAAGGGGTGAGACTCCATGTCAGTTGCCACAGAGGGAGGGGTTGGACTCCATGTCAATGGCTATGAAGGGATGGTGATTGTGGGACTCCATATCAATGTGCACAGAGGAGTGATGGGACTTCACATTAATGGCCCCAGAAGGAGGGGTGGGACTCCGTAGCAATGGCCATGGAGGGAGGGGTGGGGCTCCATATCAATGGCCATGAAGAAACAGTGGGAATCTATATCAATGGCCATTAGAGGATGGTGATGGTGGGACTCCATATCAATGGCCACAGAGGGAGGGGTGGGACTCCATGTCAATGGCCATACAGGGAGGGGTGGGACTCCATATCAATGGGCACGAAGGGATGGTGATTGTGGGACTCCATATCAATGGGCACAGAGGGGTGGTGGGACTTCACATTAATGGCCCCAGAGGGAGGGGTGGGACTCCGTAGCAATGGCCATGGAGGGAGGGGTAGGGCTCCATATCAATGGCCATTAGAGGATGGTGATGGTGGGACTCCATATCAATGGCCACAGAGGGAGGGGAGGGACACCATATCAATGGCTACAGAGGGAGGGGTGGGACTCCATATCAATGGCCACAGAGGGAGGAGTGGGACACCATATCAATGGCCACAGAGGGAGGGGAGGGACACCATATCAATGGCTACAGAGGGAGGGGTGGGACTCCATATCAATGGCCACAGAGGGAGGAGTGGGACACCATATCAATGGCTACAGAGGGAGGGGTGGGACTCCATATCAATGGCCCTGGAGGGAGGGGGTGGGACTCCATATCAATGACCACAGAGGAAAGGTGGGCCCCCATATCAATGGCCCCAGAGGAAAGGTGGGCCCCCATATCAATGGCCCCAGAGGAAAGGTGGGCCCCCATATCAATGGCCATGTTGGGAGGGGTGAGACTCCATATCAATGGCCATGTTGGGAGGGGTGAAACTCCATATCAATGGCCATGTTGGGAAGGGTGAGACTCCATAGCAATGGCCATGTTGGGAGGGGTGAGACTCCATATCAATGGCCATGTTGGGAAGGGTGAGACTCCATAGCAATGGCTGTGTTGGGAAGGGTGAGACTCCATAGCAATGGCTGTGTTGGGAGGGGTGAGACTCCATATCAGTGGCCATGGTTTTGGAATGGGATGTCCAACAAGTTCACACAGGTGAGAAGGTTAGATGTGTACAAACTTTTGGCCATCTAGTCTATTATCTATGATTAGAACAACCTGCACTCTGCCTGAGGATATAGGGGTACGGTGAACTCAAACTTACTAAAGGGGATGTTGATAAAGCTGTGAATACGACATTCACCAAACATTAACTGAAGAGAAGCCTTTCTGGTGAATGGATTTTATAGAACAGAGATTGGCCCACCTGCGGAGAATATTTGATGAATGTCACATTACCTGCTTTATAAATAGTCCCCTGAGGGCCCATTCACCTGGATGCAGAGCCCCCTACCACGTGCAAGAGTCGTCTGTGTGTCTGGAGCAGCATGGAGGGAATCCATGAAGGAGATACGGCGGCTGTACAGCCTCACCCACACAACCACGTCTGTCACGTATGCAGTGACGGGTGTGGAGACGGCGCACATTCAGGGCCACCCATCCCTTTGATGTGCAGGTGAGTCCATAAGCCACTCTCCATCGATTTAACACAGGCGGCCGGCGTGCAGCACCACATTTTATACTTCTGATAATACAGAGCTGCTGCTCAGCCTTTGGTGATATTAGATTGGTGGCACTATATGTGTGTATGTCGCATCCATGAGGGTGGGAGGGGGATGGGTTTAATTGTAATATTTGCTTCCTTTTGGGTCCTCTGGAAGCTCTGCGCCCGTCTACAAGATCTTTATAGCGATGTTCTATATGAACTTTGGGTTATTGGTTTTTATGAACTTCAATAACTCAATAAATACATTATATTGCCAAAAGTATGGGCCAGCCCTCCAAATCATGTGATTCAGGTGTTCCAATCCCCTCCATGTGATTCAGGTGTTCCAATCCCCTCCATATCATAGGATTCAGGTGTTCCGATCCCCTCCCTATCATGTGATTCAGGTGTTCCAATCCCCTCCATATCATGTGATTCGGGTGTTCCAATCCCCTCCCAATCATGTGTGATTCGGGTGTTCCAATCCCCTCCCAATCATGTGATTCGGGTGTTCCAATCCCCTCCCAATCATGTGATTCGGGTGTTCCAATCCCCTCCATGTGATTCAGGTGTTCCAATCCCCTCCATGTGATTCAGGTGTTCCAATCCCCTCCATATCATAGGATTCAGGTGTTCCGATCCCCTCCCTATCATGTGATTCAAGTGTTCCAATCCCCTCCATATCATGTGATTCGGGTGTTCCAATCCCCTCCCAATCATGTGATTCGGGTGTTCCAATCCCCTCCCAATCATGTGATTCGGGTGTTCCAATCCCCTCCATATCATGTGATTCGGGGGTGTTCCAATCCCCTCCATATCATGTGATTCAGGTGTTCCAATCCCCTCCCAATCATGTGATTCAGGCGTTCCAATCCCCTCCCAATCATGTGATTCAGGCGTTCCAATCCCCTCCCAATCATGTGATTCAGGTGTTCCAATCCCCTCCATGGACACAGGTGTATACAATCCATCCCCTAGGAATGCAGACGGCTTCTACAAACATTGGTGAAAGAATGGGTCGCTCTCAGGAGCTCAGTGACTCCAAGCGTGGTCCCGTGATAGGTGGCCACCTGGGCAAGAAGTCCATCCGTGACATTTCCTGGCTACTAAATATTCCACGCTCAACTGTTAGTGGGATTATAACAAAGTGGAAGCAACTGGGAACAACAGCCACTCAGCCACCAAGTGGTAGGCCATGTCACATGACAGGGCGGGGTCAGCGCATGCTGAAGCGCACAGTGCGCAGAAGTCACCAACTGTCTGCAGAGTCAATAGCTAAAGACCTCCAACCTTGGTGTGGCCTTCAGATAAGCCCAACAACAGTGTGTAGAGAGCTTCATGGAATGGGTTTCCATGGCCGAGCAGCTGCAGCCAAGCCTTCCATCACCAAGTGCAATGCAAAGCGTCGGATGCCGTGGTGTAAAGCACGCCGCCACTGGACTCTAGAGCAGAGGAGACGTGTTCTCTGGAGAGACCAATCACGCTTCTCTATCTGGCAATCCGATGGACGTGTCTGGGTTTGGCAGTGGCCAAGAGAACGGTACTTGCCTGACTGCATTGTGCCAAGTGTAAAGTTTGGTGGAGGGGGGATTATGGTGTGGGGTTGTTTTGCAGGGGTTGGGTTTGGCCCCCTAGTTCCAGTGAATGGAACTCTTAAGGCATCAGCATACTAAGACATATTGGACAATTTCATGCTCCCAACTTTGTGGGAAGAGTTTGGGAATGGCCCCTTCCTGTTCCAACATGACTGCTCACCAGTGCACAAAGCAAGGTCCATAAAGACATGGAGGAGCCAGTTTGGGGTGGAGGAACTTGACTGTCCTGCACAGAGTCCTGACCTCAACCCCATAGAACACCTTTGGGATGAATTAGAGCGGAGACTGCGAGCCAGGCCTCCTCCCCGACATCAGTGCCTGACCTGACAAATGTGCTTCTGGAAGAATGGTCCAACCTTCCCATAGACACCCTCCTAAACCTTGTGGACGGCCTTCCCAGAAGAGGTGAAGCTGTTATAGCTGCAAAGGGCGGGGCCAACTCAATATTGAAATTAGATGTCTTATCCATCTAGTCAATAGTGGACTTTCAAGTAGATTGAGTCAAGACAAAAAGCAACTTTGCTTTTTGGACAGAGGCTGTGGCTTTTATATAGACTCTGAAAACTTTGACCACGCCCAAACAATGGAGGGCAACTTCCTTGGGATGCTTAGAAGCAGGGCACAGGGAAGGAGGACAATGTCTTCATTTGGGTAAAAGGCTGATTCAACGTTCGGGCAAAAGGAAGGTCTTGGATATAAGGTATCCTTGTAAAGAATTAGGAAGGGCTCCTTACAAGAGAGGGATGCTTACTCTGAAACACAGCTGACAGACATGATAGCCATCAAGAAGGCCACATTTCAGGATAGACAACCCATGGGGAGTCCACAGTGGGTTCAAAGGGTGGTTTCTGCAGGACAAAGAGAACCAGATTGACAGTTCAAGAAAGGACAGGGTGCTGTAATGGGGGTCTGATCTGCGAAACACCTTGAATAAAGGTATTACCAAGTGAAAGTGAAGCCGGAGTTTTTTGGAATAGAATGGACAAGGCAGATACCTGCCCCTTAACAGCAATTAGAGCCATGTTTTGGTGAAGTCTTGAATGCAGCAAAGCCGAAGTACAAGGTAGAAAATAGTCTCTGGGGTTTAGATTCCCGTAATCACACCAGGCGAAGAAGGATCTCAAGGTACAGTGGCATATTTTTATTGTAGTGGTTTTCTGGCTTTGAGTAACATGGGAACGACAGAATCAGATGTACCCTTGTCCTTCAAGATGTGGCCTTCAACAGCCATGCTGTTAAGGCCACTAACTGAGAAGCAGGATGGTACAGGGGGCCTAAGACAACAGGTCTGGACAGTCTGGAAGAGTCCATGTGTCATCTTCTAGCCGTTTGAGTATATCCTTGTAGCTGGTTCTTCTGGGCCAGTTTGGTGCAATGAGAATCACCGATTTATTCTCTTCCTTTATTTAGAGGAGCAGTCAAGGAAGAATCTGTAAGGGAGGAAGGCATACGTATATATTAACCTGAACAGAGTCCTTGAAAATTGCCAGAGAATCCAATGGCAGTGCTAAAGCTTCTTGGTTCTGGCCATAAACAGGGGTAACTTGTTCTTGAACTTGGAGGTCAAAATGTCTACATCTGTAGACCCCATATTTGACTAGTAGATTGAAGATGATGAGGTAAGGAGACCATTCACCTTGGTTCAGGTGGTGACAACTGAGGAAACCTCCCAATTGTCCTATTTCAGGAAGAGAACAGCCGAGATTCCTGTTTTTACACCCAGATGATGCCTGACTTTTGGTTCCACCTGGATGATTGATATAGGTCCATGGCAGAGTCTGCAGGGGCAAAAATCTCTTCAGGAGAACCCAATTGTCATTAATTGCCCATTTGTTCATGAATAGGAAATGCCTTTTTACCCAGAGAGGCCTGGAAAGACTGAGGAGAATCAAGTTCAACTATACCAAGGCTTCTGCACACAGCAGGCATGTGCATATCTACAGTAGCAAGAGCATGGAGTATGGAAAAATGAAAAGAAATCTTCTGCAGCCTCCTCTAACACTGCCTCCGGGTTTTCTGTAAGGCTTTCCATTTCTACCTCTTCCAAGGGAGGTAGTTGCACTTATGGAAGGTGAAGATGAAGAATCATCCTGACGTTTTTTGGGCTTTGGACAGTGCTGGCTAAATTAGGGCCATTAGCTCTGTGAGAACTTCTGCAATACAGTTGTGTTGAAAATAATAGCCGACAGACATCACTAACCGGATCAATCACTGCTTTTGGTAGAAATATTTCTACATGGCAAATAATTTCCTATCAGTGTAGTAGAGTCATAGAAATCCAACAGACCCGACAGTCATGACATGCATGCTGCTGATTCTGTGTCATTGAATCACTCATTGAAAGGGGCGTGTTCACAATAATAGCCGTGTGGAGTTCTATTAGTGACGTCATTCATTCTTTGACAAACAGGTGGCAATTATTGCCCTTATTTAAGGAAGGAAGGCAGCAAAATGTTGGACATGCTGGTTACAGTGCATTTCTCTCTGAAATTCTGAGGAAAATGGGTGGTTCCAGACATTGTTCAGAAGAACAGCGTACCGCGATTAAAAAGTTGATTGGAGAGGGAAAACATATAAAGAGTGCAGAAAATGATCGGCTGCTCAGCTAAAATGATGGCAAATGCTTTAAAATGACAACCAAAACCTGAAAGACTTGGAAGAAAGCGAAAAAAATAACTACCATTGGAATGGATAGAAGAATAGCCAACATGGGCGGACTCAGCCAACAATCAGCTCCAGGAAGATGAAAGAAGGTGTGACGTTCCCTGTGAGGACTCAGCCAACAATCAGCTCCAGGAAGATGAAAGAAGGTGTGACGTTCCCTGTGAGGACTGTTACAATTAGAAGACGCCTATGTGAACCCAAGCTATCTGCAAGAAGTCCCCGCAAAGTCCCACTGTTGGAAAAAAAAGACGTTGTGCTGAAGAGGTTACAATCTGCCAAAGAGCACATTGACCCGGCCTAAAGAGAGAAATGGCGCAACATTTTGTGGACTGATGAAAGTAAGATTGTTCTTTTTGGGTCTAGTGGGCGGAGACAGTTTGTCAGACGACCCCCAAACACTGAATTCAAGCCACAGTACACTGTGAAGACCGTGAAGCATGGTGGTGCAAGCATCATGATATGGGGATGTTTTCTCATACTACGGTGTTGGGGCCTATTTATCGCATACCAGGGATCATGGATCAGTTTGAATCCATCAGAATACTTTGAAGAGGTCAATGCTGCCTTATGCTGAAGAGGAAATGCCCTTGAAATGGGTGTTCCAACAAGACAACGACCCCAAACACACCAGTAAACGTGCAACATCTTGGTTCCAGACCAACAAGATGGACGTTATGGAGTGTGCCAGCCCAATCCCCGTATCTTCCATCCAATAGAAAACTTGTGGGGTGACATCAAAAATGCCGTTTTTCTGAGGCCAAACCAAGAAATCGAGAAGAACTGTGGAATGTGGTCCAATCATCCTGGGCTGGAATACCTGATCACAGGGGCCAGAAGTTGGGGACTCCATGCAACACAGATGTACAGCAGTTCTCAGAAAACAGTGCGACTACAACCAAAATATTCATGAAGTCATTCAAAGGAAAGCAAAATCTTCAAACATTTCTCAGTTTATTATAGTGAATGTTGGAGTTTGTAAAGAAGAATACAAACACGGCCATTTTTTTGAACCGTCTAATATTCACTTTTCTTCCTTTTTTTTAGAGGAACAACACAAATTTGATGTACAGGTTGTGTCCAAAATTTAGTATTACATTATTCAACCCCCAGAGTTTTTTCTGCTGTAAAGGGGTTTAGGGGACTATAGTGGTACATTTGGAATTGTATTCAGAATCAAATCCTACAAGGACGTTGTAACTACCCAAATGCAACTAAAAATGACATCAATTGTTTATGTAATACAGTAGTAAATGGTTCTTATGTGGTTTCTAACATTGCCACAATTATTCAACCCCTTAAAGACTACCACTCTGAAGAACAGAGGTTCATACAGGTGCTTTCCATCAGGTATTGAAAAACACCTGTGGATGTCACCGAGCAGCAATCAAGCATATAAGAATAAGCACCAATTAGGCAGCTTTAAAATGACTGTGATACTCAGCTCCTTCTAGACATTTACTGGTGTGGTTACAAACATGGTGAAGGCAAGAGAATGGTCCAGGAAGACAAGAGAAAGAGGTGATTTCTCTTCACAGGAAGGGCAATGGCTATAAGAAGATTGCAAAGATGTTAAAACATACCAAGAGACACCTTAGGAAGCATCATTCGCAAATTCAAGGCAAAGGGCACTGTTGAAACGCTACCTGGTCGTAGGGCAGAAA